TACCGCATCCCATTTCAACGAATAGTGATTAAACATGTAAATAATTAACATTTACTAATTACTGCAAGGTACTTAAATGTTGACTTAGATGAAAGGATGCGTTCACCTTTTGGAATAAATGTCACAACATAATTTTGCAATCAGTGACTCTTCAAGTTAACTGATGGCCCTAAGCAGCCGAAGTTTATGTTCTTATTATTCTAATTACCATAGTTATAGGCCATTTTTTGCTGCAGGCATCCTGACGATATATTTCACTCTATGTTATTGTTCAAATGAAGCTATGAACGTTTCGAAATAAATTTACCTTCTTCTAAAATTCTTTCTATTGCATTTACTGCACGTGGTTGTTGCTGCTACTTACGCATACATCACTTTTTAGGTATTACCAGAAAGTCGTAAACTTTTGACTAGTAGGACGATAGGTTAACCTTTCGTGCAACATTCAGCAAATAGCTCAATCACACTTATTACTTTTGTGTAACTCAGTCAAAATTAAATACTGGACGATATTTTATTTACATGTTTTACAAACAGTTTTTTTCTATCCTATATCTGATGGCTTAGCCGCTCACTTATCATCACTTTGTTTTGTTTCGTTAATTGTTCGTTGGTGCTTCGGATTGTTTATAGATGTGTCTAACAATGGACATTGGTCATGCCACTGTCATCGCGAATATGACATGATCTGTGCTTGTTAACGATTTCCATGCTTATTTCAGGTTAGAGAACATGTGCTCCGGTTTCACCTGTTCGAAGAACGCCCTGATTGCCCTGAACACCCTGTTCTTGGTAAGTCGTCGCTGTTTCTTTCACAGTTTGTGAATCAGGCCATCTAAAGTAATTACCTAATGAACCATTCAAAAATCGAGTAGCTGTGAAAAAAATCTGTCTATAGCAAACGTGCTTGCCTTTACACATAACTTGATAAAATCAAAATAACTCTAAATATTTAGGTATGTCCTGTATATCATAGCGTGAATAGAGTACATGCATTGTGTAATCTGTCAGTTATATCTTCTCAAGAGCAGAATTTTCAGTTTCTTTCACTTACTCCATGGACATGGACTGAAATTAAAAAGATGTAGATTGGTGAAAAGTTAAAAAAAAGATTTTGCGTGCAGGATAAAGGTAGTGACCAGTCGGTAAGTAATTTTCATTGCTCTTCGGAGGTGCAGTGGGAGCATTTATTTATTACTTGCTAATTCCATTGAACAAGGAGTTCTTTCCACTGTGCCCATCGGTAAATGCAGCCTAGAAACCGTTATCCAGACGAATATTATGGACAACACCGTGTACTGAGAGGTCGTGCAAGACATGCGAGACGAATAGATGAAATAAAGGGAAAATTTGCTGCCGTTGGAATATCAGTTTTAAGAATTCGTGATGGAACCGTTTCTGGTTTCCTTCTTTTCATGAAGTTGATGATTCGGCATTGATCTTCATTTGCTTGCCATCAGCCTGGAATGCTTTACCTTATAATGACCTAGTCAGCAGCTGATATGTGGCTGGCGTAGTGGGTAGTGTTCTCTTTCTTTCTCGTAGAGTGGTACTCACTTGTCAATTTTGCCGCAAGGATTTTGATTCGGGACCTCTCTGTCTGATGGGACTGCTTATGGCTGCAATTCACTTTGACCTGACCTGATTTGACAGCTGACTAAAAAAAAAATGACACGCGATGTGTACCATCAAATTGAGAAAAAAATCACCATAACCCAATTATTTTTTTAAACTATGTTTGTTTTACTTTAAATCGGTTTTGAATTTTTTGATCGTCTTTTGCATAGCTTTTTCGGTCGATTTCAGGCATCAGCGATCGTACTCATTGTAGTCGGCACGTACGCGAAAGCAGTGAGCATTGTGCCGAGTATCACGGTTCCAGCTGGCATCGTTTCGGTCGGCGTCTTCTTGTTATTCCTGTCGATTCTCGGCTACGTTGGGGCCGTCAAACACCATCAAGTATGCCTGTTTTTCGTAAGTGGTGACAGTCGCTCTGACGGCACTCAGCAACCCCTTGTCTTCATTCACTTATTTCAGTACATGATAATTTTGTTCCTCATATTCATCGTCCAGTTTTTCGTCGCTGTCGCATGTCTAGCCATCAGCGACGCGCAGATTCATAGTGCCTTGCAGGTCGGTTGGAAACAGTCGTCGAATGAGACCAGGTGTTCGGCGGAGAAGCATTTCGCCTGTTGCGGCCTTGACGACAAATCGCAAATGATCGAATGTGATGACGTAATGGTTTTTCACTTTGTTTGCTATACTTTTTCATAGTCCGTGCTTTGAACGACATTTTTTTCTAGTTTCGTTGTACATACGATGTCCCATGTTGGCCTATCATGGGTAGCCGCCTGTCTGATGCTTTACAGATCGCTGGAGGAATTGGACTCTTTTTCAGTTTTACAGAGGTATTGAAGTTTCGGCGTTTCTGCTATCCTGTAAAAACTATCTATCCTAAAAATGACATTGCCTCCAAAATTTTACGTTAGTAACCATCCGTCTGTTTTACGTGATGAATTTTACGTAGCTGAATAAACTTTGCGCTAGATTTAGATTCCAGTTAGTGTGACCTTTTTTCCTAGCAGTTACTGCATACGTCATGATGCTACGTTTTATATGGCGTCTTGTACGCATATTTTATGGTGCATGTACGATATGCATTAGATCGCATCTACACCTGATACTAAACAGTGTGCATGCTGTTTTATCATATACTCTCCTTATCAGGCCTTGTGTCATAAACATATAAACGGCATGACCAGTATCTGGACGGCATATCGTGCATACTCTCTACCCCTCGTACCGTACGCCATATCTGCGGTATATTATGTAGTATCTTGTACGAACGGTAGATAGTTCATGTACGCTGTATCTTGTGTAATCTGTTACGCAGATGTATGCTTCATGTCTTCCTAAATACCATAATAGGTGTGATACCGCAGCTGACAGGTCACCGGCCTGTTAACCAGACGATGGTATTGGTGTGGATGATCCTCAGTTTTCAGGCTCAAATAGAACCGAAGTTTTCAGTGACAAAAGGAAGAACATGTGGTGCTGAGAGTTCTTCACCAGGTTTCGTGATCGACCTTCATAACTCTCCTGCTGTGACTACTGGTAGCATAGCAGTTCTCAGGCTGCTGCCCATCCAGTGCGATAAGAGTTTCATCCTTGAAGTGTCTAAGCATCTGTTTTCGCTTACATGTTTAACAATTTGTTTCTTCGTCAAACAGTCCTTTTTTGATCCTGATTGCCACTGAATACAGAATGTCAAGTTCAGCTTCAAGGTTTTGATTTTTTATACTAGTTATAGATTTTTCCTTGATTAGTTAGTGGCGAATAAGCATTACTTGATCAACATATGCTTAAAAGCCACAGAGTTTCGCGTCAATACTCCGTTTTAGCTTTCATATCGGCCGAGTCAAGATTTCCCTTCAGATGATGACTCACATGAAGTTCTGACAGTTATGTTAGAAATTGTACCTGCATTCCAACACAGTAATGACTTGATGAAAATCTGTGTACAGTATATGGCAATGCAAGTCAGATGGCATACGCGATTTTAGTTATTCGGTGTTTGGATGAGTTATCAGTACCGAAATTTCATACACCCCGCTCGCCAGTTTCCTTGAGCAAGCAACGTTTTCTATACTTGGAGGTTGTCGAGGTAACGTCGCCTGCCTTCTTCGCCGTTTTGAGTATTTTCATAGCTGTTGCTCGTTTCTAGGCTGCCGTTTGGCTTCTTCTCATTCCTTGACATTTTCAGATTTTGGGCATTTGGTTCGCTCTGCGGTACCGTAACGCCAAAAACCTGTCCGAAAATCCTAATTCGTACTTTTGATCATCCGCCGGCCATTGAAATTGACAGCATTCGACCGAATTCTATCATCAAAAGTCGATCGCATTGCATTTCCGGTTTCTAATCATGCATTCGTTATTGTCCTGAAATTTATTATTTCATTTATTGTATTAAACTTTGCAGGTTTCGTGTTTATTTAAGTTTGTTGTTTCATGTACCGACTTTTCCGAACCCGGGGTTGTTTTTTTCGCCATTTATGTCAACATTCTTCCAAGAATAGGTATTCATGCTTCGTCTGACTAGTGAATTCTGGTAGAATATACTGCTCTACAACCACTGTTTTCACAGTAGCGAGCGGTATATACACTTTTCTAGATTCAGGAACGTAAATAGGAAGCTTTCCTGAAAATTCGCAGATAGAAAGTAAAGTCCCTTTAATTTCAAAAAAATATTATTTAAGAAGAATCACGATATCTTGGCACATGGTAATATTCTGCAGAAATAGGTTATCCGGTTACCAGCATTGCAGTTACATTTTTTTGAACTGCGTTATTCATTCAGCGCGAACATGCTGCAATTTGAACTTGACTGTATTGACCAGAGCATGTTATCAAGAACAAGTCACTCCTCATCCAACTCAGCAGTTTTGATGGCTTTAGCGAAGCCATGACAAAACGCTGCTTGGGTTCCCATAAGTCTAACTGTGCCTCTAGCCCTAATGGACTAACCAACAGCAACAGTACTTGTGTTATGCAAAAATGAGCTCTGGCTTTCTCCCAAAATTGTACCACAGTTGTTTTAACTCCACAAGATCGCACACTGATGGTATTTACGAGAAACACTCCTGTGCGAAAGATACGTTAATTAATAAGTTAATTAATCCGGAGGATTATAGAATTTTTGCGGTGAATTCCCCTCTGCTAAAAAACTTTGAAACCCTACTAAAACATGGCTTGAGTAACGTTAACTGGTTTAAAAGACAGTTCGGATTTACGAAAAACTGTCCCACATTTGATGCTATGCAACTACTATAAACGTAGGTGGCATTGCAGCTAGAGCCCTGTTTATTAACCTATCCTCGTGTCAAGAGATGCCTGTCTCAGGCGTCTACAGAAACCTAGCATTTCATTCCGTTTTTTCCAGTCCAGAACTTGTTGTTGTACAATGATCGGTGGTCTTCAGTTTCATTCTTCTACTTCGAGTCGCATGCCGCGCCGCGTGTGTCGGGTATACCGACGATAGAGCAATAATCGCGATCATCCGAAGCGTTGCTGATTCAGCAAGACCGATAGATGCAGTGAATAAAGCAGTTCGAATAGTCCAGAACTTCGGCTGGATAATCTACCCAAAAAGGGCTCACGAAAAACAAGTCTAAAAGAGTATGGTCCAGTTGAAAAACCAGTAGCAATGGAAAATGAATCTGTCTGTTGTTTCGTACACTTGAAAGATCCGTTAGAGTATGCTGACCACATCAGACAAAATGAAGATATTTAAGGGTTAATATTACCTGGAGAGGCTCCTGAGACTCGAAGCTCATCATTCGGGCAAGATGGCTCAGCTGCTTGCTGCCGCTAATAAGTAATAACCAATGCATCGTGAAAAAGTGATATCCATGCGCTTTCAGAACTTTACCTCAAGGAAAGCTTTGCGACGCAAAGTTAAGAGCGAAGAAGACTCTTTTTGAAGCAATTTGTTCACCATTGCCACTTAAGTCGCACGCAAATACCACCTTGTAATAATTTTGTTGTCCAAGCCAATATATTTCATCTAATTTATGCACTGTTGAAGATATATCCAAAGTTGATGCTGCAGAGAAGTTTACACAGCTGCAGTTAGAACGCCAAAAGTCAAAAAAGTGAAAGAATATATCATTGCTTTTCTGAAAGCCATATTTCTATACGCGAAACACTCATAAACGGAGGGGAAGATTTTTTTGTTTTCTTCTACGATGCAGTAACTTATACCTGAGATCGAAACATTGTTAAAAAGATGAAAATGGAAAACAAAACGTTTGACTTACTGAAACATTAAAGGTAATGGGTAAAACGAATTCGACCACCAATGAGCGAGACTCGCATTTTCAATCTGTTCTTACGAAACGAAAGCTTACTCGACGGCAGGTTCTTCGTTGAAGTCTGAAGCACTGCCGAGTTCTGAGATGCTTGCTATTCCAGCAATTACGAATCAGTGTAAGCAACTGACGAAATTAGTTTAATGTTTGCAATGTTACAAATCCAATTTACATTAAATGAATTGTGTCGGTTCAAACAAATCGCCGTCGAAAATGCTCAGAAAATAATTCTAAAAGCACTTATTATCCCTACCAGTTAATTATCGAACCTCCACCGCTGCACGGCCAAAAGTGAGGTCTGGTCGTAACAGGTACAAGAACAACAAAATTATTAAATCATCTTTGACATCAAAAAGTTCAGCCGCACGAAACAACCCAACCAAAGACACAAACGACGGCATTACCGTGGCAAGTATCGAATTAGTTGCAAGGAAGAAGAGGGAAAAACGAAACAACAGCCGTCCGCCTTTTATACCACCCTCGTTCCGTGGCTACCAATCACGAATAAGGGTAAATCGAGTTCGTCTTTGTATGACGATGGTGTCGTCCTCGACTGACTCACAAAACTTCGCAATCTTTCTGAGCATCAGTTCTGAAGTCGTGTCAGAAGTAGTTGGGCTGTCGGTGGCACTGATCGAAAGCGGCTACCATGGGTGACGAACATGCTCTGTGTGCCTACTAAACACAAACTATGAAAACAAATGCTGAGGAACGTCAGCGAAACGTTGGGCAATTAAGTAATATCAAAAACACAGCCAACAAAAAATAAAGTGATACGAATCAATATGAGTATACCATTACAATCGATTTGCTCCAGAAAAGGTAAAATCAGGTTTACAGGGTTGCGGAAGGGGAAAACGCTTATTGGATGATTGGAATTCTACTGAAGCACAGCAATTAACTAAATCTGAATAAAATTCACGTGACGAAGTGCAACGAAGAAGTCTAACTCGCAAACACACGCAGAAATTGGGTTACTATGTAAGATCGTTGGGAGGACACGGGTCAATAATAATCAAAAATTAGGTAATTCGAGGCATCCTGTCATCTGAGATGTATCTTTTATATCGAATGATCACAACTACAACTGTCAGACTACGTATTCATGGCGGAGACCCGCAACAAAAGCTCTATTCACAGATACATGTTGCAAACATAAAGTGAAATGGCAAGGGCGTATCGATGATCTGACGTCCTTGAAATAATTTGATAAGGGATTCTCAGCAGACATAATAACTAATCCTAAAAGTAATGCCAAATTTAG